TATACATTACCACTATACTGATGTAGTTACCATGGTAACACTCCTTTACACTATGCCTCCAGGCTGGGCTGTGTTAAGGTATACATTACCACTATGCTGATATATATTTACATGTTTCTTGTTATTTCAGGACATCGCCATCATGTTAATGAAGAACAAGGCATCAGTTGCCATTACGAACAGCGCGGGAGAAATTCCTCTGCACATCGCTGCAAGGTAACGCCTGAAAGGTTGAATTATATTTGTGATTTAATGGTTATCATTATCCTAGTATGTTTATAACCAGACATTTTCTCTACTCGAGTTCCTTTTTACTTTTTTAATGAATCCWGCAAATTTCATGGAGTCTGTCTCATTGGGGTCTGATGAGGTGGTATAAGATGGGTCTTTTTCAGTGCCATCGATCTCTTTAATATGAGGGAATATGACATTTGCATGATGGCATCATTTGACTCCCACTACCAAGATGCTTCGCAAAATTTCTTTCTTATTTAAATTTGGTTTTCCTCATGAGAATAGTAAGACAATTGGTGCTAATTAAATGAACAAAAGAAAGTGTGCAAGGGAGTCTGGTAGTAGAGGTCAATGACACCATCGTGCAAACCTCCTATTATAATGGTTTTTACAAACAGACATGGAAGACTTGCTGTGGTAAAAAAGCTTACAGAAGGACGAAACAAGCGAACGATAAACTCAAATGACGCTAGTGAGAGAACACCTTTACATCTAGCAGCACAAGAGGGTCATGAAGACCTCGTTGAATTCTTCCTGAAGAAAACTGCAAAGATAGAAAGGTAAGAATGAACGATGTGACACAGAAACAACCATCAATTCCATTCTGGACTTTTCTGAACTATTTCCAGGACCACAACAAAAGGGTTTTCTTCCCTCTATTTAACAATCAGACCTCTCGCCCTCGTGGTTTTCGAGTCAATAGCCAATAAGGTCTTTGGCCTTCGACGTCATCGACTCGTAGACCATGAGGGCGAGAGTTCTAATTGCTTAAAGTATAAAYCTACTTATCGGTCAAATAAATGGATACAAAATATTGTGTAATTAGGTTGAAATAATGTTGCACATAATACCGTATCAAAGATTGGCCCATAGTTCGGTTGCAAGTTTGAAGTGCTAAATGATTAAAAGAGATCACTATAGAGCTGAATTGAATGCCGTGTCGCGCAAAAAGGGACACTTGGGGATTTGGCTACTCACTCCTGGTCCATCGTTTTGTGGTCTTAGCTGATGTTTTATTTACTAACCTACACATATTGATTGAATTCCCACATCACCTTTATATTCTGACTAACAACAGGGATGCTAACGGTCAGACGCCATTACACTATGCAGCCTTGAAGGGCTCTAAGACAGCTATTGAACTGTTCCTTGAGTCTAAACCAGAGTGTCTGAATTACACAGACGAAGACAGGGTAAGTGAAATAATCTTTAAAGGTTTACACTTTTGCCTGTGACATCATCTTTGTATTAATCAAAAATACAAATACTAACTTGTTCAAGCAAAAAGTATTTAATTAATGTCAAAATCATACTCATGGTTTACACAATGTTTGTTGTAATTTTGGTGTCTCATAATGGCCTGTGTTTAGTACAACAGGTTAAAACAAATCCACCTTAATACCCAGGTGACGTCACAGCCAAAAGTGTAAAACCTTCCTAACTTAGAGACGCAACACTCAAATACAGAAACATTTCACCATTCCAACTATTTACTTTATGTAGAATCAATACTAAAAGTATCGTATTAGGCATTATGGGCACTTCAACCTCGGAACGGTTAATACAGACTTACTCTAACCCTACCTTTGAAGGAAAAACTATCCCCGCGTAGTTTACTAACCCTATGCATGTTATCCAGAACACAGCTCTTCATATGGCTGCGTTAGGTGGCCATTCACATATCGTACAATACCTTCTCACCAAACCTGATCAGGTCGTATCAGTCAACGAACGAAATCAGAATATTCTAGACATTGCTATCGAGGGCAGGCATGAGATGGTTGCCATGGTGCTAGCAGAACACAAAAGGTTTGTTTTATCCAATGGTTGAGCTTCACGTTCCCCAATTGTATCGCATACTCGTTTTCGAGAATTCTCTCGGCTTTGCTATGAAAAACCATGGCAAGGACAGTAACAATACAGTGTTTTTATTCTATCCCTCAACATTGCTGTCGTTAAACCAATACTACACCTTTCCCAAAAAACATTGTTCGGTCAGAGATCTAAAATGGATGGACCATCTGAGACTTAACGGAATTGTTGTACGTGGAGTTGCTTTAGTTTTCTTATATATGTTGCTTTTCGTATACCTTATCATCCTTATGTATCCTGTTTTCTCAGATGGCGCGAGGTGTTACGCAGTACGCTACATGGAACACACACACAGATACAGCTTCTAATTAGACACATGCCTGATGTAGCCAAGGTATTTCTACTAATGTCCTATGTCAATCTTCTCATACCAACAATAGCCGTGTGACACATTCTCTWAATCCCAGAACCAATGAACGTCCGAGAGTTTAGTTGGGAATCATTTGAGCAAATTAAATACGTTGCGCAGGACAATAGCTGGAATAGCACCAGTATTTGAAGACCTCGTATTCTCAATGGTCTTGCAGATTTCTAACACGGTTTCCTAATCATTTTCTGTCAATAGAAGTTCCTTGATCGATGTGTAGAAAGAACTGGTGACCCTGATAGCGAAGATTATAAGGTGATTATTATCATTACTAACGTAGAACAACGTAAAAGGGACGTAAAAGAACCACTGAGGACGTAAAGAAACCCTAGCAGCGACCACCCTCAGTGGCTACACCTCATACTAACCATCTCTCATTCATAACTCATTTGTAAAGCGGCTTTGAACATATCCATATGGAAAAGAGCGCTATATCAAATATCATAATCATAAAACATGATACTCTGACTAGAATACCATTTATCCACGGTTGGGAGCCATTCCTGTGGCAAAGGCATAGCAGCCATCTTGGTTGGTGTTAAGAAGTTAGAGAGGCGTTTATTATTGATTATCGCCAACATAGACACACATACAACATGTAAATGTCCTATTGGTCAAATGTCATTGATGTTTTGCTCTATTTTCTATCAGTATGTGCAKAGGCGCATGCGCAATGACCCTTTTGTAACCAGTCTACCCAGAGGCTCATCGTTCGCGTCATGCAAGTAGAGTAAGGATTATTTTAAAGTTAGGCTCCAGTCCCCACGGTAAATCTTTCTCGCTTGAATCCACTTGCATYTCTCCTTTTTTACCTATTTGTCTTGTTAACCACGTGATCCAATCGAATCGCAAATCTTGTTTTCGGTAAAAGAATCAAGTTGTTTTTCATCGATTTTATTATAAAACGGAACCCTTAATCGCTCTTGAACGAGGTGGCGAAWACCTTTCTCAATTTCTTGAGTAAGATTTAACTACAAACAGTTAGCTCTACATCTTTTGCTGCTTTTGGGTCCTTGGTAATCTGGAGGATGCTTTAAACTGACTTAACCTCATATACTTTATTGATAGCGTCTTGGTTTCAACAAAAGAGGGTTTATTTGCGAGAAAGTTGCATATATGTATATTTTTTTAAGATGGCAGCCACGGAAATGAAGAGAATTGAGCGTGCGGTGGTCGATGGGATTGACCCGGAAATCATGCTGAAATCACGCYTAGTCAGAACACCTAGTATGGTACTCTATTCTGATGAAAGATGTTGCATTTACTTTGTCTTTTAGGTTACGTACGACCTCCGGTTTATCCAAGGTATGCCAGACGAGAAAAAGAACACAAAAAATATACGAGAATCACTGAGTGCCCTGCATGTAAGTACGCTGTACCGTTTATAGAATATCACCACTAATCTGGGTATCAAACCGATTATTAATATTTATTAGATATTA